CCCAGGGACTTGACGCTATTGACCATCTCCACCTCAGCACCACTGATGCAGAAAGTGGTGTGCCTTCCACTCCACATCCTGAAATCGATGACCAGCTTCTTCACTTTGCTGATGTTGGAGAGATTGTTATCTTTACACCAAACCGCTAAGCACCCTCTCTCTTCTCTGTATTGTCTCATCGTTGTTTGAGATTCACCCTACAACGGTTGTGTCATCAGTGAACTTGTAAATGGAATTGGAGCAGAATTTGCCACATAGTCATGAGTGTATAAGGAGTATAGTGGGAGGCGGAGTATAGTGGGAGGCTGAGTATACAGCTTTGTGGGCACCAGTGTTGAGGAATATGGTGGAAGAGGTGTCAACGCCTATTCTTACTGATAGCGGTCTATGGGTCAGGAACTCAAGGATCCAGTTACAGACCAGGGAGCAGAAACCTAGGTGTTGAAGTTTCGACATGAGCTTGTTTGGAAATATGGTGTTGAAGACAGAACTGTAACCAATAAATAGGAGCCTGACATTGGTATCTTTGTTATCCAGGTGTTCCAGGGATAAGTGTACAGCCAGGAAGATTGTATCTGCTGTGGACTTGTTGCGTTGGTAGGCGAATTGCAAAGGGTCAAGGCAATTTGGTAGGTTGGAACTGATGTGAGTCACGACCAATTTATTGAAGCACTTCATAATTATGGAGGTCACAGCCACTGGACAGCAATCACTGAGGCACAATGCATGATCTTTCTTTGTCTCTGGGATGATCATGGTCTTCTTGAAGCAGGTGTGGATTTCAGATTATACTAAGGAGAGGTTAAAGATGTCTGCAAATATTCCTGCCAGCTGGTCTGCACAGGATCCGAGCGCACGGCCAGCAACTCTATCTGGGCAGGTCACTTTCCGTGGGTTCACTCCCAAGAAGGCCGATCTAACATTTGTAGCAGTAACCATGGGTACAGGGTGCATCTGAGGCTGGTGGGATAGGTGACATTGTTTCATTGACCTTCTGTTCAAAGCAAGCGTAGAATGCATTGCGCTCGTTGGGTAGGGATGTACTATTATCCACAATTCTGTTGACTTTGCTTTGTAGCCTGATACGTCATGTAAGCCTTATCACAAATAACGTGTGCTTGTTTGGTTGGTCTGGGTCTCCAGCTTAGTTTGGTATTGTCTCTTGGCATCTCCAAATGCCTTTTAAAGGTTGCACCTAGATTTTTTGTATAGATCAGAGTTGCCCAACTTGTACGCCTCCGACTTGGACTTCAGTAGGGAGTGGATCTCCCAGTTCATCCATAGTTTCCAGCCGGGAAACATTCGAATCAACTTTTTTGGCAGCCAGTCTTCTACACACTTACTAATGAAGTCTACGACAGACAAACATCCCACCTAGACTTATTCCCTAGCCTAACTCCATAACCCGGCATTTACCATGGCTAATCCATCAAGCCTGCACATCCCTGGACACTACAGGCAGTTTAGCAGAGCCAATCTACCTAACCTGCACATCTTTGGGCTGTGGGAGGAAATTGGAGCAGCCAGCAGAAACCCACGTAGAAATGAGGAGAATTACATAAACTCCACACACTCAAATCACCCAAGGCTGGAATCAAACCAGAGTCCCTGGTCCTGTGAGGCAGCAGTACTAACCACTGAGCCACTGCGCTGTCCTTCTAATAGGAGATTCCAAACAGTGGTCTCTCTGAAATGTGGAGTTGTACTTCCATTCTGCCAGTTCTTTTGTACTGTAGAGCTGACAAAGAAAGACAAACCATACCAAATTTTCACAGCAGTCAGTTACCATATTCTGAAATGCAATGGTCCTGACATCATTTGACAGCAGCTATCGAAGTGTCTAAGTACATAAGGGGAGTTAGGGTGCTGGCAGGGTTGTGTGCTAGATGGGTACACTGTACAGTGCCAAATGAGTACGGTGCTAACTGGGAAGAGTGCCAGTTTGGCAGGTTGTTAGAGGTAGGATGCCAGAAGAAAGAGGGGTAGGGTCCAGCTGGATAGGATGCCAGTGGAAGGGAAATCAGGTTAGGCTGGACGTGAGTTTGATTCTGGCTGCATGGAGTGAATGTGGGTCCCATGGAGATCTTGGGTTGGATCAGTGTGGCAAGCTAGGGAGTTTGGTTTTGGTGAAAGTGGTCTGGTGGAGGTGCAGTTGGTGGCATGTGAGGTAGGTATGGGGTCAATTTAACAGCTACTCAGGAATAGACTACACATTTAACAGTTGGACCTCTCCTGAGTAACCATTTTACTTACTTTCATCGGAAGTCTCCAAAGTCTGATTTAAATAGAGATTTTGAGGGTTCCAAGCAAAGAGGAATCTCCCAATAGAAAATTCAATTTCCCAGGTAATTCTTTCAGTGTGCTTTGATGGGGATTCCAGCAGAGTCCTCATGAGCATATCCCATTTATGCTGGAATAAGACTGTCTGGCCATTGGAAAATGCAGGCTAATACTCTTTATAAGATACCAAATTACATACTGGTCACCAGCAACATACTTGGTTATTAACCATACATCGAGAAAAATTCAGCAAAGCTTCAAAATACTTTCTGATAAAGTAATTTTATGAAATGTACGATAAAAAGAGAGACCATTCTGTTGACACTTGAATCAAAGTTAATCAAGAAGGTTGTCAAGATGAAAGTCTGTGGAAAAATCTCATTGGCTGATGTGTCAACATGTTACTTTGATAAAAATTTTGTTACTAATAAACTCTGATTAAAGTATAACTAGTCTGCCAAGAAATGTTATGCTTGGATCAAGGGTTCCATATAAAACAGGAGCAAATGGGAATGATACACTGGAATTCCATGTCTGGTTACAAATTACACTTTGATCAACTATAGATTAATCCAGGCTGCGCTAAAAGATTTCTAAAAAATTGAACACACTAAATAAAGCCTTTCATGTTTGACAGGATATGCATAAAGGAATTTGCAAACTCCCCTGCATGCCAAGTATAGGTTAAATTTCCCAAACATTAAGGATCACAAAACTGTGAATTTATACAACTCGACTATACACGGTTTACAGATAATTTGATTATTCATAAAATCAAATCCATAAACAAAGTACCTGTTCAATTTTTACGATGATGTGATTTTAGAATAGCATCTGTGCACTTTACGTTAGTCTTCACCACACAAATGCACTATCTGCTAAATAATAAATTTCACCGGACCCAAAATGTTAACTGATTTTTTTCTTCACAGATGCTGCCAGACCTACTGAGCTTTTCCAGAAACTTCTGTTTTTGTTCATAATACATTTTAAAACTTGGTAAACTAAAATCAGAGGTAAATCTCAGACAGGTATTACCTATTCAAATTTGGAACAGAACTTTAATTACCTCCCCTCATCTCATGACTGGCATACAGGGCTTCGTATGACTGAGCACCATTTCTCTAGATGTCACTACATTGCTGAAACTGCAATGAAACAGCCACCTTTTTGAAAGTATCTCAGTCATCTCCATAAGTCAGCAGCTAGTCACTTAACTTTTCTCTATGTGAGCCAGCTTTGGGCATGTTTTCAAATGAAATGGTGGTGTGATGTTAGAGGAGGATAAACAAAAGGTCAAGTGTTAAACAATCAGAGTTCTGCAGGAGAGTGGTATCAGACAGGAGGTTACAAAAGATAGAAGGGACAAGGACATTTAGGGGTTGAAGCACACATTTGAAATTTAAGTTGGATTTGCAGGGACCAAGAACCAATTTAAGTCACCAAAGGCATGGCAGAGTTTTAGATAAGTCAAGTTAATAGACAGTGGAGTGTGGAATACCAGCCAGAAGAGTATTGCAAATAGTTGAGTACAGAGATGACAAGGCTAGGTGCGGGTTACAGTGGCATATGGAATGAGGCAGGGCTAGATGATAGATCAAATATCCAAATATTTGACTGGAATACGTTGTGGCTAATTGGAAATCAGACACTGGAGAGCAGTGTGGCCGCACGAAAGACATCCTGTTGAGGACAAAGTGGAGGGAGTCAACTCAAATGCTCTGTGATACAAAAGGTATAGACACTTGATTTTTACTGTATGGTAATTACACATCTCAATTAGAATTACTAACAATTAAACCAAAAAATGTGATCCAAACATTCCTAAATCTCCTAAACTTGGACAAAACTGGGGACTGGCAAAGAAAATAAGCAGGACATCATTAAAAAGCGAACTTTTAAAGATAAAGTTCTATTGTCCTACCAAAGTCCAACCCTCTCCACCATGTCCTACTGTTCAGGGAAAGGAAGAGCTGAAATGGTGTTTCACTATCACTTAACAACTATTACTTCTTATGTTGAAGTAAACCTTTCATCCATTTGCTCTCTGTTAAAGAATACTTCATGTTACTAATTACAACAGTCAGCTGAGAAATTTTAAAAGGTCTCATTCTAACTGCACCTACGAGTTTGACAGGCTACTCCAGCACACAAACCTGTCAAGTATTTGATTGGGATAACAAGGTGTAGAGCTGGATGGACACAGCAGGCCAAGCAGCATCAGAGGAGCAGGAAGGCTGATGTTTTGGGCCTAGACCCTTCTAGATTGGGATGGTATAAAACAAAAAAGTTTGCTGAAAATACAAGCAGCAGCCTTTTTACCCCAAAACAAAATTAGGTGAATTATCATAAGCCACAAAAATAGATATAAAAATTGGAAAGAGACAAGATAAGTCAAAAAGCAGTAAAATGTACTGGCTCCAACATACCAAATCCACGAAAGGAGAAGCACTTATCAATATAACTTATCAATCAAATAATTCCTCACAATATTACATTTAATCCAAAATGAAATTTAGGTTGAACATTTTACCAAAGGACTAAGATGTTTAAAAATCTCATCAGAACAGTCATGGCTATAATGGAAACACTGACATTGAAAATTAATTTCAGCTTAAAATGAGTACTGAAATGAATCAAAAAGTGAAAGGTTCATCTCAACATAAACAGCTGCATGTTTGGATATCTTTACTTAAGTGTAAAAAATTCCTTACACTTACTCTGCTTTTTTCTCCATAGTGTTCAGAATGATGTTGTTTGAATGCATTACTTGAACGATTATTCTCTCGATATTTATGTCTGTCAGTGGATACTATTGCCTTTATATCTTCAGAATTTGTGGGTTTGGTTAAACTGGAGTAAGAAAAAGAAAAGTTTAACTTGAAATTAAGTGCAACTACACAAATGTTTATTTAAATGAAAGTTGGCGACACCCAACAGTTCGAAACACTACAATGATGTGACATGTGCGAAACTTTGATGCACGGCCACTTTAATCCTCTTTAAGGATGACCATCCTTTTGAAGAATGCACACAATTGTAAGAATTAAAGGCCAATCCAGGTATATTTGTAATGTTCTTTGCAAATCAACACTCATGGCAAGTAACTGCTAGCCTCCCCCAGCTGGTGCACAATGCTAGATTTGTTTCCTCAAAAGATAGCCATAGTAGATGCACTTAATCAATTTAAAACTATTTTTTCCTTTAACTTGACTATATAAAAGAGGCAAAACAATAATCTAGCATGATTCAGTTTTCTATTTTCTTTCTCCCTGTTTCCTTGTATGCCACTCAAAATTACAAATTTGCATTCATCTATATTCAGTAACTTGAATAAACCAAAATTTAAAAAAAATCCATCACACACAAATTATAACTCCCATAATCCTACCTATCTTATATCCTAGGTTACTTCTCAAATCTTTCTACGTCAAGTCAGATTTGCTCCCTTTCAGCATTTGCTACACACATTTAATATACTACAGTGCCAGCATGCACTTCCAAAATGATTCTTGCCACTTCACAGCGTTTAAATGTAATGGGCCAGATCTTTAATTTATTAAGAAATTTCTATTTGAACACACTAAATTTCATGGTTTCGGAGTAGGGGGAAATTAACCTGTTGTTCAAAGTTCATCACCATGACAGTCTAATGACCTGAATTCCCATTTGAGCTTGAACAATAATTCTGTTGCTACAATTCTCATTATGGTCCCTTTGCTCTCCCCTCTACTTAACATTTCATATTTTCCACGATTGTTTATTCCATGGTGTTTGAAAACTCATTTTGCCAATAAAAGAGCAAATGATACACAATTTATCTTCATATTTCAAACATGTTTACAAAATAAACCAAAGATTTGGAATTTGTTACACCAATATCAATGTCCAATCTCCAAGTGGAACACAGGTTAATAAAGCTAGTTTAAATTTGAGCGTTTTGATTATTAAAGAGAATATCTTTTATTTGTATTACCAATATTTTAAAAAATGCTCTGGTCCAAGTTAGGATATAAAGTTGTATAATTTTCTATAAATATCAGTAACATCTTTTGGAAAGCAGGGTATCACCTCATTATAAAATGTCAAATGTTACCTGCAGCACTATTTTCTTAAGTTGGTGCAGTTTAGAAATCTACAACCATATTACTTAGGTCATGACCTGGACATTTTAACTTGCTAAGACCACTGGGTTCCAACCATAACCAAATTGAATCAGAATCTAAAACAGCCTTTAGCAGCAGTGGGAGTTTTCAGGTCAGGGAGACAAGAAAAGGTCATATTACAACAAAGGTCAGAACCACAAGGAGAAGGTGCCTGGTGAATCAAACCTGTTAAGTCTTAACTGGTCTGTGATAGTGATGTGAGGCGTTCTGCCCTACTTGCTATAGGATTGATTTGAATGAGGCATTCTTTTGTCAAGTATTGTCTGAACTCTAAAGACAGGAACCCTCCCTCATGGCTCTTCATTCTCACATTGATGTGTCAAGGATACATTGGACTTGTTCATTCATGGCTCCTTTTTTGATCTTACTCGGAAAAATGAGTGAACTGAATTGGATCGAATTAGCTGTGGTGAAAACTAAGAACAGTTCAATTTATAGAAGTGTGGCAGTAATTTGTCGTGCCCTTTCTTCATCTGATGTCGTTCCCATGTCAGACAAGTTGGAGGATATGGTGGTCAATGGCTAAAGGTTAAAGAGGCAGGCCCTAATTACCACACGTGACAAACTGAAGCCAATTTAATTGTAGAAATAATCAATTTGACGACAATGTTACAGAAATACGTACACCATGTTACATTGTGAATCCAAACCTGACCAGCAATTTAGTTGAACGAATTTGAGGTGGCAGACTAGCACAAAGATAAAACAAAACAAAATAAAATAATTTTGTCAAAACTGAGATATCATATTACCAGTTTTGAAGTTAATTATACTGGTAATAAAATTAAAGTGATTCTGTATTGAACAGAATATTTTCAGATTCGCATTTGATAATAATTTAAACTTGGTGAGGTGAGATATAGTCAAAACCAAACAAATGGTATTATTTCAAAATATGAATTTACTTAATTTTGATTCTGAACAAATTAAATTGTTTATGAGACAAAAACAATTTGCTGGAAAAACTCTTCATCAGAACTGATAGCAGGTAGGAAAAAGTCACATAAATATTGAAGACGGAGGTGGGGACGTGGGGGGAAAAAGGAGGGGGATGAGGGGGAGTAGCATGCGAGAGGGGGAGGTTAGGATCATGCCAAAGA